CGAAACTGTGACTTTCAAGTCCTCATTTTCGATTTCCAGGTCTTTTATTCTCTCTTCCAGGAGTGCGATTCGCTCAGCATGTTCACGTTGGATATCAGCCTTGAGTTTTTCTAACTTCCGATCCAGAAGCTCCTCGGTAATCAATGTTTTCAAATTGACGTAGATTTCGTCCAACCGTTGATTTCAAACATGTTTGACTTACTCCAATTCCACTAGTCCTGTTACTGGCACTCTGTCCTCGTTGTGTTCTACTACCGGCTGGCATATTGGAAGTGTTGACAGATACAGAACTGTAATACTTGTAAATCCCACATTATATCACTGGTCTCTCAGGTTCATGTCCTTACACATGTATATCATATAGGCCAGGTAAAGACAAGAGCTGAGTAGTAGTCAGCCACGACGCTTAGTCCATGGTCTCAAAATATCAGTAATTTCTCAGAGCTCTGTAACACCCGACTGACTAGGTCCTCGTCCCGAGTAGCCTTGTTAATAGTTTGCACTCAGAACATCGTTGTCGATAATATTACCTTTTTTTATTTGTTTTCTTCATGAAAGTCCTGAAGGGTATTGAGGTTCTTTTCAAAAATGATTTATCAAGGCTATAGTCATGCCAGAAAAGGCAGTGTCCAATGTGTAGATACAGTGTTTAGTAGTGATACGAGTATCCCTAAGACAAAAAGAGGAAATATGATTAAAAGAATGACATTAAGTAAGTCTAGCTTGCTCGTTCACTAGCTTCTATCTCACGTGATGCTAATGTCTTTGGTATATTATGGTAACTTTCTCCGGCGCCTTTCCCCTGGACACCTTTGCAGAGATTGGGTCGTGATCCAACAAACGGTACAGATCATTTTCTTTGTCATCTTTTGCACCCTTTGGTTTAGTAAGATCATCTTTTGCACCCTTTATTTTAGTAAGATCATCTTTTGCACCATTTGGTTTAGTAAGATCCTCTTTTACATCCTTTGTTTTAGTAGGATCATCTTTTGCACCCTTTGTTTTAGTAGGATCATCTTTTACACCCTTTGTTTTAGCAGGATCTTCTTTTGCACCCTTTGTTTTAGTAGGATCATCTTTTACACCCTTTGTTTTAGCAGGATCTTCTTTTGCACCCTTTGTTTTAGTAGGATCATCTTTTACACCCTTTGTTTTAGCAGGATCTTCTTTTGCACCCTTTGTTTTAGTAGGATCATCTTTTTCATCATTTGTTTTAGTTGGATCGTCTTTTGCACCCTTTGTGTCGGTAAGATCAATAGACCTTACATCTGCAAGATCCAATTCTCGAGAAGCTATGAAGTAATCTATGATGGGTTTTTTTCCCCGTCGGTCTGATGGTTTGTACTGATAAAGACTGAACTCGGGTAAAACACTGCTGACGACGAGGGACATATCGATATTGAAATCTCCACCCAAAAGAATAGGCGCATTTTCACATTCAGAGAGGTTCTTCAAATAGATTTGCAAATCTTGAAACTGTTTCTTCCTTATTGCTATTGACTTCTTATGAAACCCGTGCCATGACACAACAAGAACTTTGAATTTAATTGGTTTCTTTGCTTCCAAAAGTTGTATACTACAACGTGCTAAAGGTTTGAAATGTTTTTCCACTTTACCGTTCCTTTTCATTTCGTCCAAAGTTTCCTGTAAATTTGTTTCCTGTAATATAAGTTTAAGACGTCTATTATCGTACATGATACTGGCTTGCCTGTGGCCCTTGTATTCATAGTGACCAGGTAAATGAGTGTCCTTCCAAGCACGACCTCTGATCCCCTTCCATTTGAATTCTTGAAAAAAGACAATGGCAGGCTCATTAGACATTACGACGTCAGCAATTAGTTTTCTGGTCCTGAGTGCAGTACCTGGCCCGTCACCTGGACCACTTCCATTCATACTAATGACGTTGATTGCATCCGGGGAAGGCTCTGGAATGTCAAATCTTCCCGCTGTCGGCAACTCAACGTTCTGAATATCATTTGATGTATGAATTCCGGCGGCTGCAGTTACTTTCCCCACCGTTTGGTTCTTTTGGGCCATGAGTCTCTATTGCTATTGGTCTGAAAGAGAAAATATCCATCACGTGCAAATGCGTACGGAAATGAAGAGAGAATGAGATGGGGAGAGGGAGAGTGTGAGTTGGGGGGAAAAGGCTGAAGAACCAGTAGTTTGTATTCTCAGAAACATTATTAGACTTCTCTGATAGGAGGAACTTGACGTTGGCCTTTTGGAAGTATGATTTTACAAAACATGAAGTTGAATCCAGTTGACATTACATGCCAGTTATATTAGCGAAGCTTTATAATCTGAATCGGACTGTTAGAGATATCTCTTCTTTCGGAAAATCTAATTATCAGTATTTTCGATATGTACTACAGTGTATCTATGATATAATGGCACACGATAAATTTACCAAGCGGAAGTCAAATGTAATGACGATAATGGCGTGATTGAAACCAAAACCAGGAATTGTATAACTGTCCTACGCTTACTATGGCTAACTATCACATACATAATCTATAACTTACTACAGTTGAATTACTTATTACTTATGTAAACATTGTTAATAAGCTTACCTCAGACTTCACGAAGTTGTTATCGGTTGTGTAATATAGAAGCATATGTACGTATGTAATCAGTTGTGTTCGTACCTGTACTGATATATATATATATATATTGATTAAACAACAGACACGTTCATTCATGTCAATCTGTTCCCTTACGTAGTCATGCACGAAACTATGTATTTAAATGCCAACAGGACATTTTTAAAATCAACGTCCTCTCATTTCCCTCTGGAACACATATTACATTTCTTTTAAATATACACACATGTAAAGATTATATAAGTGTCTTTTTTCATCGTTATCGAACACATTTCGTCTCGTTTTAAATATTATCAAAAATTACCCTAGTTTATTGTGTGACTGGGTCATGTGATTTTGTCAAGCTGACTTTCGTTGAAGCCATACTCTTTAACCGATTTCTGCTGCTAATGACGTCATCAATGCATACATGATTCCCTCGTTATCGGTATAAATAATGACCCTGACCTTTGTTCCCAGTGCCATGCATGCAGGTGTTACGTGCCATCAGTATTCTGAAATCGTACTGAACTCAGTTGACTTACGGAAATCAATTGCGCGTCAATAACGTCTTGATTAGCAGTTTCTATCATGTTCATTTTCACGATGAAACTATTATTTCAAGTAATAGACAATATCTGATTTTTTTTTCTAGTACTTATGTCCTTGTTTTGTTTTAAATGGATATGTTCAACTCCTTTGACAATATAATACAAGCCGTAGGACAGTATTCAAACCACAATACCACTAACCACCACTGAAGTCAATGAAAGATTAAATTTGAACTGACCTTAAGGCAGAGTAAAAGTTTTACTTGTTTAGTTCCTCAATCCAGTAGGTAGACAGCGTTACTTACTATCATTAGACGACCTGTTCAACTGTTCCGGAGTGTCCCTTTCGTGACGTACATTACCCATTTCTGTTATTATAAGTCATCCGTTCGGGGAACTTAGTGTAAACATTTTAAATAATCGCACACACGTCTATTTTTTAAATGAGATATATGAAACGAACCCAAGGATATTTTTTTAAATTTTTGTAAGCCTCTGACTGTTCGTATTTCCTTGATGAGGATATTTTGTTTGAATATTGTAAAACATTATATATATTGCTGTCACATATAAAATCAATTTCAAATACACAAAATATGAGATTTAAAAGGAATTGTTTGTAACAAAAATGTATTAAGATATGTTGTTATGTTGGGTAATATTCATGCATCAACTACAGACGTATGTTTGTATATTCTAAATACATATGTATATACAGTCCATTGAAATGATATCACTAGTGGGTTAAAAATGACATTGTTGTTCTATAAAGGTCCAATCATGTAAATACGATTATAACATGCTATGAATAAGCCCTGATGTATAACATCAATAATTAATAGTGACAGATCATATTAACATAAAAATGTCAATAAAAGTCGTATGTGCCTTTATAGAATCTTTTTTATTTTACTTCTGTTTTTCAACTCCTTGTGGAATCGAACTCAATCACATATATTGATTGCATATTTATTTTACAATTACTTTAAACGTAAGAGTTTAATAAAAAATTGAATTTAAAAATAAGCACTATGTTACCAAATATGGCAATACTTGTTTGATGACAGATATTCATGTTTTTGAGGAAATGGCTAAGAAGGAATTGAGTATATACCCATAGACAAGGGAACCTAGATGTTAATTAATGACGTGTTTGATCATAAATGGATACACTGATCATGCCGTGTTTATAATGGTGTTTTGCATTGGTTTTTGTTTTTGCTGTTTTGTCAATAACTATCAGACCCCGGATGCTCAAAAGTTAGAAACCAGGGTTTTCAAAGCGAAATAAATCCTCAAAACACATCGATATGATTTGTCTTAACAAATTTATAGCAGTGAAATGATGGCAGATGTTCTTGATTTGTTGTATTCAAATTCAAATATTTTCCTTAACCACTTATTAACTCTAATGAACTTGGAGCAACCGGGGCAAGGAGGTCTATAGGGGGAACTTATATAAGAACTACAACACGTATATCAAATCTATTACGCGTATCACTATTTGGCAATAAGATTGCTTCAGTAATTATTACAAATAAATGCTTTTTTCAACATATAATGAATACATAATGCATTTGATAAGCTGATAGTTCAGTTTACACTACCCCGAAATACAAGAACTTATTATTGTTTTATATTTGACAGACCAAACATTGATAGCCGTTTCGGTTTATTTCTAAAAGAAAATAGCTTACGTTCAAATGTGTTTGTGTAGATTTAGTGAAAAAATGTTATGAATCATAACAAGCTAGACTAGTTATGCCTACAAGTATAACATCTTCGCTGAAAGCCAATTCTTCCCCATTCATAAAATTATTCCATATAAAATCTGTTATCTTTCATAACATTTATTTCTACTGTGAAAATCCGATGTAGAAATAGTATTAGCTTGATAGATGTAACTTTTTAACTTGAAGTGTACACTGGTACTATCACAAGTGTGCCTTAAAGAAGGCGTAAAAGCAAATTTCAAGATGATAACTTTCATAAACGTAACCAATTTGTTAACTTTACACTTTAGAGGTAACCTCATCTGAATAATAGAACTTTTATCGACACAATCATTAATACTTTTTAAGTGATCTCTGACATCAAGTATTACGTCATCCCCGATTCAAACAAAACCAAGAAATGTAAACTAAAACACGGTCGTTCTTATCAGACTCCATAGATCATCAAGTGCTGTCGTGTATCGGACTAGTTATCGTCCTTACTCCCCACTGTCATATTTCCAACCAAAACACGAACCATGTCATTAATCCAACGGCTGATTATAACAACTTGGGCCCTAGTAAGTGGCTGTTATGGCCAAAGTGACGTCATTGATAGACGTTGTTGTGTGCCGTCTCACTTTCGGTGTACGATGGACGTGACAGGAGGATACACAGATCCTGTTTCCAGAACAACCTCATATGTAGATGTAAGTAAATTGTTAATATTGTGTTCTCTTCAAAATAAATCAGGTTCGTATGTCATAATACATGGACTTTTTTTCAATACTTTTAAAAATAACGCATAAAAGAAAGAATGAACATTTGATACATGTTGTATTCATACGAAATATGGGTTTTAACACTATTTCATTGATCAACATAAAACTCTCTTCAAGAATATAAGAATTTCTTTTGTTTTTGAGATTGGCATGGATAAATATAATGATAAACCATAATTTGCAGGTCCTCTGATTTCAAATACTCTATTGTTAAAGCGCAAAGTCCTGATCACCCATAATTTGCAATTCCTCTGATTTCAAATACGCTGTTGTTTAAGCGCAAAGTCCGTCTTTACAACGATTACGATTTGAACGCCACCAGAACCGACACTGACGTCACCCTACCAAGTGGTGTGACTTTTGTTCACTCGGAGCTGACATTTTATGACAAGGTAATTATTAAGGCGGGTTTCATCGATGAAGCAGAAGAAACATATCCTTCCGGAAATCCTGGTCTTATTATCTTCATATATTTAAGGGTATCCTTACAAACCTACCTCTTGTTGGTGTTTTACCTAGTTTTATTCATTCTGAGTTCCAATTAAATTTTTGTTGACACTTCGATATTCGATTTTTTTTACCAGTAACATACAGATACCCCAATGAGTGATGGAAGGTTGTTATGTTTTTTTTTAAATGTGTGAACACACAAGGTTTACCGAGTGTCTTTTACAATATTTTGAAAATTAATCAACAAAAGAGTTCTCCCACAATGAAGTTAAATCTAGAACACCCTATGCTTTTTATGTGAATACATTATTCCTGTTCCAGATCGGGGAAACGATTGCCATGAACTCTGACGTCATAATCAAAAATGGCATCTCAAAGCATTGTCATTTGAAGTCATTATTAGAAGATTGACAATTGAAATCAGGTTCAAGGTGCTACCCACTAGTGGGTCATCATTTTTTACCAACTCCTAGCAGGTTTATCCAATAAGTCTGGAGTGAGGAAACCTATAGTTGTTGTGGGGCAAAACAGTTCTTACAGGAGGGGCTTTAGTGAGTTAGTTTCAAAAATATCTGTAATAGAGTCATACATCATAAAGTCTAATTTGAAAAAAAGGCCTAGGTTCTACACTATATCGTAAAAACAAATTATTTAAAAATTGTTATACAAACTCATTTCAGCATATCTCCTTCAAAGTAGACGGTGGCCAATGCCGGACTGATCATATCACCGACGCCATGCAGGACAAGTGTATTCCAGGTAAAACAAAAGTGTCCCTGCATACTTTTACAGAACGACATACGATTGGATTACACAGTTCAATTTCGGAGACATTAGCATAACGGCATCATTTCGATAATTTAAATGTGCAAATATTTTTGTTCTTAATATCGAATATCCCATATCCTACAATTCTCAAAAGTGAAGAAAGATCATTTCTACTGAGGTGGAGATGACAAGTGTTGTTTTGTTTGCAGAATGGTTTATCACATATCAATTTTATAGGTCAGGGATAAATACTTACGGACTGTGACGTCACAAACGGCCTTATCACAAATGAATACTAACAGATCAGTGACGTTATAAAATCGCTTATTACAGATAAAAACTTACAGGTTTGTGACGTCACATTGCATCTTAACACGTCTGTGTTATATTGAAATTCTTGTTTAAATGAAAACAGGTTTATCTTCAGCATATTATTTTCATACTTGGATTAATTTCCATGACTTAATAATCGATTAGGTTAAAGTAATATTCAAAGTATTGTTGATCGTAAGACTCATATCTCTAACATAGAAACGCTGAATTTGAATATTATTATGTACATCTAATTGAGAACTAGGACATTGAAATTATTTCCTGGCACATTGATGTATCAAAATATTTCATACGCTATCTGATGCTACTTTAAAGTGATCCGCGCTATCTCACTGAAATACCATGCCGGAGGCACCCAGCACAGCATTCAACCCGGTCACATCATACTGACAACGGGTGGACAATTTGTTGCCATTACCCTACATGCTGAACGTTAAGCATTGAATAACTACTATTTAATCGCTTTGATTTTGTTGGTATATGTTGAGTGGCTGTAACAGAAAATGATGACTGCCAAATTACTTTTCAAGTGAAGCTTCTTGTTCTAGGTTTATTTCCTTGTTATAAGTGGGTTGACTTGATCATCTGTTGAAAAAAGAACTCATTTAATACATGTTATAAAACTGGATTATTTTTTGAGATTTAGAAAAAATCTTTTAGGTATTTTCGAGGCAAACCATTCAGAACACTATTCTTTTATTTTTAATAGTAGACTAGTTAACAAGCTATGGAGAATATACTGATTTCATTTACCTATAAATAACATTTGTCAGTGATTAGGTTGTAACATGTGACCAACCCGTTGCATGCATATGCTATCTGCTTCACATCATTCCAGTAGCCATCGCGAACAAATATAGTCATGTAAAAATAACAAGTGTGTTTCGTAATTCTTTACCTCGGGAAACAGCAGCACATATACTCTTATCTCCAGATACTTAAATTTCTTCTAGACAAAACTTGACGTTTACAACAGAAAACATGTGAAGGCCAACGGTATCAATTGACTGCCTCCGCCTGGAAGTTAATATGATGTGCGACGAAATGTGCTCATTAGTCGAATCGCATCCTTGTTCTGGTCACTTAACATAGTCATACTCCATCATCAGCCAGCCCCTGTAGGTTCGAGAAAATATAAAACCTGGTTTAAACCATTGTATGTTGTAAAAGGCCACTTATGTGAGGCCACTGCAGAATAGGGAACATTCGTCGGTGTCATCTGCTAAGGGGACATCGAAGAAAACAAAAATGATCTGCTGCTCCTATTGCAATACATGGGATCCATAGTACACTGTGGTGTCTTTTTCACTTCAATACTCTTTTTTCGACGGTAGCCCCTAGGTACCCGTCTACTTATGACCCTGGCTGTTGCGCGGACATTAAAGATGACCCGAAAACACGCATGTGATTTCACCTGTAAAAGCCCAAACAAAACAAAAAACATCGTCTGTCGTAGTTCTACGTCTCTCCACAATTTTCATAACGTACGAGCAGTTAACTGGTTATTTCATGCTACATACCAGTCACGTTATTTTTAATATCCATGCTATCCTTTCATAAATTCACTCGTGGTCGAAGTCGAAACTACTTTATATTGCAACGTTTTAATTAGTATCGTCAAATGTGACAACATGTTTCTATTGTTTTAAGTACAAATGACATGACCAGATATGGGGAAAAGGCACCAATAATTTTCCTATATCCATTCCAAACTACATTAACTTAGTTTTTCGACAAAATCGAATATTCTTTTAAATGCAGCGTTCCTTTGTCAGAACCAATTGATAAAATATAAAAACTGTCATTTTGCTTTGAATGCTTTAAACCTACACAATTAAAAACTGCAAATGTGCCACAATTATTTAATTGATTTTTTGTTATATATTAGTTGAAGTTATTGATCATGTATATCAGCTACTGGAAATATAAAATCTAATGTTGTTGTTAAGTCACCATAAGCAGGAGGTGAATCGGTGGGAATATATTCGTAGAACTCGACCTTAACAACGTCCTACATGTTAAAATATATATTAATAAGTATCAATGTTCGGATTATTTTCTTTATTTTCCAATATTCCACACACATATCTTAACCAAAACTTGACATAATTCTTTCAGAGTCCTAGAATAATAATAAAGATGACATTCTAGTTATTCTAGTTTGAATATACTGTGTATGTAGATCACGATCTGTCAATGTGTGGTTGAATACATTGTCTCTGACATTGTTCGTGGAGCACAGCTGATGCAGTGCTGTTGAGGACGAGCCGTATTGGACCAACTGGACACGATGGTATCAACGTTGACACGTGGCGTTACATCACATCCGATAACATCACGATTCTGCGCACAGTGACGTCGAATGAATGTTGGCCTGTCTACCAGACGGAATACAGTGTACACAAAGGAGGTGGGTGAGGCGATATCCTGATTTTCAATGATGACACGTTCAAATACAAAGTGATATTAAAGTCAAACACACAGCTGTTAAACAATGATATATGTACGATATCTTTCGTCGTTAACGTTTCACTGTCTTTGTCCTCTGTTACAGGCTACTCGGAAATGACGTATATGATATCTGACATCGAATTGGGAAAGTTTCCTGGTTTGATTCTCACACCGAACATCTGCATAAAGACCTAAGACACGGGAAAACAATTTGTGAATTCAAATGACAAGATACACTATTTCTGCTGATGGTCTTATTGCTCTTTCAATTTTTTATTCTTTAATAAATAAAAGTCTTCTGAATTAAATGGTTTTAACTTTTTTAGTTTTAGCTTGCCGTTTGTGAGTTAAGACCATTCCATCAAACGGTGTTTAGAGTTGATGCTTTGTATTATTTCATTACTGGATTCGCTACTGGCTTAGACTTACATATAAGTCCCCAGCTTCAAGATTGTTTTCGGTAAAGAGCGTATGATTATATGCCAATCTTCCAATCTGTCTTATTAAAAGAACACGTACGTTACACAGATGATCACTGAAATACATTTTTACGAAATCACATGGCCTTGTCGCCTTTTTGGACTCGTCAAATGATGGTTCTAAAGCTTATAGGAATGAGCGCTGTGTCTAAGGTGTTCTTTTTCAAGTAAAATACAGGTGAAGATACCTATACAAATATATTACCGTTATTTAACAGGTTTTGGATGCAAAAGATAATTCATACTTCAACAAGTATTTCGTGTAAACCGTATCAGAATAGGTTTCAGCGACAACATTACAGACAACGTCGGGAACTGATAGTCCACCAGCAGAATCAACCACCTCGTGACGTAAAATTATCATAAAACACAAAGTAAGGACACCCATTAAAAACATATTTCAACAAGTAAATCAATAATGCGCCTACATTTGAGTGCGCTAAAATAATAAGTTTACAGCATATAATAATTCCAATACAATTATTAGTCAGCGCACTGAGAACGTGAGATCAGGTGACCGTTTCTGTTTTTTGCTTTTCTAGATAAGCAACAGTTGTAAAGTTTAGCGTCGTCAGGCTAATGACTTATCCTGAAGAAAAAATAGTGCCAACAAAACTCCCCTCATTTCCAGCCCACTGATGGGCTCTTGGAGCTGATTCTCCGACTGCTATTATAAACGGATAGACACCCCACTATGTCAAGGTAGCATCTGTGTACAGCGTCGGGTGGGACCTGGCACTATTTAGGTACTCCCAAAAGTGTATTGTCCCGAAAAGTCTGTCTTCAATTACTTGATTAAGGGAAGCAGGTCTTTCCAGATCTTGGGAAAAGGAAACAGATGCATCTGATGTGAAGACTTTCCAGAAGAAAGACATCTGCCGATGAGTTGATGTAACCAAACTATTTAAAAAAATAATACATCAAAACCCGAGACATGTTAATGAAGGGAGAGCTAGGTCCCGCAACTTCAGAAAAGTCCCTATAGGTGGAAGAAGAATGTCAAACATCGAAATGAATCGGTTTCCTATGAAGGCCCGTGAACGGACAAATCGAACGCTACCCAAATGACAGCTGTTGTTGGAGCGAAGGGAGGGAGTTAAGTAAAGAACTCGTCTGTTCTTTGGAAGGAAGATTCTTGTTGTCCTTACCTTTTTTTCCCTTGTCCTTGAAAAGAAGCTTGGATCTACTTAATTGAGTTCGTTGCTTGTGATTAGACCTAGCCTTGTTCGCAACAGGTACCAAACGCTGAGGGGGAACTGAGCAACCTGTTATCGATTTCTTAGGAAGGATACCCTACCAATATCAACAAGCAGTGTAGGACGAAACATCAGTCCGTAGTCTAACTGGTCAATCCCGTTCAATATGTTGTACAGCTCAACCACATCTGCCCTCTCACGCCTGTATTCTAGAGATGGTAAACCTAAGCATTCTGTATTTCTAGTACTCTTTTAGTGGCTTTTCATTGGACATTTTCGATAGCTATTTTATCCTTGTTTAGAAACGGTGACCACACTTGCGTAGCGTATTCCAAATGTGAACGAATTAGGGACTTGTACAAGGTTGTAAAAAGAGCTATGTCCATAAAAATGAAAGTTCTAAACTGTATACCTAACATTTGGTTAGCTTTCGACACTGCCCCATTGACATGGGATGAGAATTTTAGGGGGTTGTCAAAGTGTACTCCAAGGTCCTGTGCTGTGACTACTTTCTCTATTTCGGTTGTTTGTCCATCTTGCGTCAAATAGTATTTTGATGATTTGGGGTTGTTACCAATCTCCATATGTTCGCACTTCTTGGTGTTTAGCTTCATGAGCTAGCTGTCGGTCCAATTACTTATTTTGTTGATGTTTATTTGAAGTTGTTGTCTTTCTAATTCGGTTTGCATTTTTTAATAGAGTTTGGTATCGTCCGCAAATAATTTGGTTATACAGCTGAGAAGTCCATGCATGTCATTGACGTAGATCAAGAATAGTATAGGGCCAAGAACGCTTCCCTGGAGAACTCTACTTGTGACTGGAAGACTTAAGGATTTTGCTCCGTCAATTGTAATTTCTTAGTCCAAGCCAAAATTTTACCTCTGATACCATATTTATATAGTTTGTATAATAGCAAGCGGTGCGACACTTTGTCAAAAGCTTTGCTGAAGTCGAGGTATATGATGTCTACATTGATCCCATCATCTAATGTCTGTGTCCAATCTTCAATGACCTCTAATAGTTGAGTGGTACAGGAGCGGCCACTTCTGAAACCATGTTGGTGGGGGTGAAGAGATGGTTCTCGTCCATGTGTTTTAAGATTGCATCTCGGACTATGCGTTGTAGAATCGTACAGGGAACTGACGTCAAACTGATAGGTCTGTAGTTTTCTGGCTCACTTTTAGAGCCTTTCTTAGATATTGATGAGACATGCGCCTGTCTTCACGAATCTGGTAGGGTTCCTTTTTGGATGGACCTGTTAAAGGTGATTGTTAGAGGTTCTTTTAGTAATTCTATTGTCTTTGAGATGAAATTTGGATGGATGTTATCTGGGCCAGGAGATTTGTTTGGCTTGGTTTTATTATTTGCTGCTAACACAAGATTTTATGTCACTGATAGGTCAGTGAACATGCTATCGAGTGGTCTTTCCTCAAATTCAGTCAAAACCACTTCGGTGTCGTCAACAAATACACTAGCAAAGAAAGTGTTCATGACGTTGGCCGTTTCCAAGTCTGAGGTGGTCATTTCTCCTTTATCATTTTTGACTCTGGTGATGGACGTTGCTGTTTTTGTTTTAGTTCGAACATATTTCCAGAACGCCTTTTGGTTTGTTTTGATGTTGTCTGCCAAATCCTTTTCAAATGTATATTTTGATCTTCTTATTAGATGGACGCTTAGATTTCTCTTAGTCTTGTATTTTCTGAAGTTTTCTGTGGTTTTACAGTGAAGATATTTTTGCCAAAGTTGACCTTTTTTCTTAATAGAGTCTCTTGAAGCTTTTTCGTTGTTGATTTTCCTTGTTGGGAGGGTTCGGGAGTTATTCCTCACCGGTACATGCTTCTCTATTCCTTTACTGCTGTATCCCCCGATCTGTCGCCCATTGAACACGTCTGGGATGAAATGAAGTGCAGATTACGGACATTACCTAATCAACCGGTGACGTTGGCTGATTTGGCTGCAGCGTTGATACAGATCTGGAATGCCATCCCACAAGCATTCTTAAACCGTCTGATTGGCTCCATGCGTCGACGTTACCAGGCTTGCATTCAGGCAAACGGTGGGCATACGAGCGAGGTATTAACTTTGTGAACTCAGTATTGACCCCTGCTGTGTTTACGTCACTCCTGAGCGAAACTTATTGATTCCATAAGGTGTAAAATGGAATGCAACTGTTAATAAATAACAAGTTAATTGTCCCTGAAAACCTTGTTATTCTACGTCATGCACATTTATTTTTACAACACATTTTAGGCATGCACAGTTTCTTTTTTCCGCTAGTATATATATGTCTCTGCTTATTACTGAAAATAATATGTGAAAATAATTTGACCCATATGAAGATCTTGGAAAACCATAGCATAAACAAATTGGTGCTATAGAAACATATAGCGCTATATATGACAAATAATAATACTTGTGCAACACTCATGGGAAGTCCGAATGAAATCCAAACAGTATTGCTGTTCCCTCTTGATCATAGGTTTACACTACAAGTTTTACCCGTTACAATCTAAACCAAGGGACGTTACTCTATCATAACATCCGGCAGTGAAATGGCTTCGCAACGTGACACGTCCACTATTTGTATTTTTGATGTCGATGGAACCCTCACGGCTCCAAGACTTGTAAGTAATGTATAACGTCAGTTTCCCCCAAAGCATTTGCTCTCCGTATTACCACCGGATCAGATGTATTGGCGTGCCTACCAGAGAGATCGTGCTGGGCTGTAACCAGGGCCGGTTGACCAAGTTGTTGGAATGGTTCTTCACTTACTATAAATATATATGGCTGGTGAATAACTAACAATAAAAACGTATCTATGTAAAAACAATTTAAACAAAAGAAACAGTGTCAAGGGAGTATTGTAACTTGTATATTTGGTCAGAAAATTGTTCAAAATAATATGATTTAAAGACATGATGAACTGATGAAAAGAGAGCATGGTATTGCATCAGCAGGTGGATCATGTCTTCTTCTTCTTTTAATAACAGTCCTATTTTAACGTGAATTAATATTATTATTATTATTATTACTATTATTATTTCTTTTTCCAAAAACGGACAAAGACTCCAAGGTTGGAGCGATAACTGTCCGTGTGCGCATGTACGTGGGGTATAGGGTGCCTATCATAATATACACAAATGTCAATATTATAAATGTTACATATATGTTTTCTAGTTTATATTAATACGTTATCATACAAAATCAACCAGCAAGGCAGATAGAGTTGATATCACTAACACTTTTATTTAAGCCTTGTCTCAATATTCAGGTGATTATAACTGGTCACAACATTGAGGCTGACACTAATACAATAAATAATATAAAGGGGGATAGTAATGTTATCAGGGTTCTAGGTGTCATGACACTAAGTTGTTTTTTGTTTAGTAGCAGCTTTAAATTCATATTGTAATGAAGACATACAAATTAATTATATGAATATCATACATGTATATGGCTGCAAAGCTTGACATACAATTGAAAAATGTATTAGCAACTATCGAACATCATTCATGTATATTTAAACTGTTTTGTTGATTTTGACATTTTGTTTACATAAAGTGCATGTATCTGCATATACATGTATATTGAAACTATATACAACTGTTTAATAACACTGAACTGAATAACCTTATTTTTCAATACAGAAAATCTGCCCAGATATGGACGAATTTCTCCAGAAATTAAAGAGGAAAGTCCCCGTGGCTTTGGTAGGGGGTTCAGATCTGGTCAAAATAGAGGAACAGATGACCCTCACAAAAAATGGTAACAATGATACCCCAGCATCTTTTCTACTTCATGTGTATAGTTATCATTTTACTTGCATGGCTTAAATTACAAAAGTCTGTTACTGTATATAGATATTTCTGTTTTATGCCAAGTTCATACAGACTTCATTTGCAATCAATACTTTTTTAAAAACATAAATTCAATGAAGTTTTTTAGTCATAGAAGTAAGTAATGCACAATTCTATGATATTTGTTTTCTTAAAACTAAGTAAAAACTTTGAATTTTTATTTGAAGTCTTTGTGCTTCATATTTCATTGTTGATTTTTCAGAAACTGTCACTAAGAAGTTTGACTATGTTTTCTCTGAAAATGGTCTAGTTGCCTACCGTAATGGTGAAAACGTTGGCCAACAGGTAAGGTTAAATGCCATTCATTTATTTTACATCTTTGTAATATATATATTTATTATTCATTGTAACTTTTTACTAAAGTATTTTGAAAGATTTGAGAGGTTGAAATGAAAATCTGGACTCATTGGCTTTCAAAATATTGAGTTCCAAAACAAAGTTTGTTTTGTCTGAGACTGTTATTAATTGATCTTGAACTTTTATGGGTTGTTTTGCCTTCTCACTACACTTAATAAAACAATATGACTAGCCTCCAGGATGTGTGTGACAGTGATATTATATTCTTGTCCATTGGCATGGCAACTGGGATATGCTATCAAAAGTAACAAGTGTGTATGGTGTATGTTGTAGAAAAAGAACAGAATCAATCAGTATGTAATTTGTCTTTAATTAATTGAGATTATACTTTCATGTCTGAATCATGTTGTTTTTTTACATTTCCAGGATCTTCTAAAATATGTAGGAGAAGAAAAGTTACAAAAAGTTATCAATTTTGCTATGAAGTACATGTCGGACATCACGCTGCCAGCGAAAAGGTTAAGCTTTATTAGATCCTGATAAAGTGTGAAGACTACTTTTGTTTATCTAATGCACATTACATTACACATTTACTAGAACTATAAGTCCAAAACTTGGAAATGTCTCATTGAGGTGTTCCGTGGTTCCTTTAGTTGAGCATATCAAATTTTTGGACCGATAAAAAAACCAAGATGGCTGAGTGGTGGTCATCTTGATTTTGAGAGTTAAAAGAATGTTAGTGCTTTTCTCCAAAAATACTAGAGGGATCTGTCTCCAAATTGATATGGGTGTTCCCTTCAGTCTTTTGTTACACATATTGAACTTTTGGACTGATGAAAAAAACAAGATTGATTTAATTTCCAACATGGAACTGGGTAATTGTACCTGTAAGGAAAATGAAGAGCAAAGAAGGTAGATCTTACAAAGATCCTTTCATGGTGGGCTACAAGATCCTTCTAGGATTTCTTGCTTATTAATTTGAATTTTCTCAGAAACATTGTACTTCAAGGATTATGGTGAAGCCAAAAATGCATTATCCTCTTGGTCTATACATGTAGTTGTACATGCAGTAATTTGAAATGAATCAGAAAAAGCAAAACATATGCCCCCAGGCAGCAACCTTGGATTATCCTTGTCAAGTTTGTTACCACAAGCTTCATTTCATACTATACAGTTATAAATTTTCCAGAATTTACAATTGAACTTTTTCATTTTACAGGGGAACATTTTTTGAGTTTCGTAGTAGCATGATCAATATTTGTCCAGTTGGTAGAAGCTGTTCACAGGAGGAAAGACTCGAGTTTGCAGCTTATGATAAGGTTATAAATATAGTAGAACTCAAAAGTGACAACAGCTTAAGTTGTTTTCACCTGTCATGTGAATCACACCGATTACTTCTTAACTGACAAAGTATTCATAATCTGATTGATATTTACTTGTCCTTTTTGTTTTATTTTGAGTTGAAGCCTTCAACATTTTACAGTCATACATGTGTCAGTGTTTTAAGATCTATGTAAAGGTAATGTTTTCATTACAATGATATAGTAACTTCACTGCCTTTATTCGTTAATAAAGATGTATTGCTAATATTAATGCACAATTGTCTTCGGCAAAATGTGAAAATTGTCCAAAAGTCCCACCAAAACAGACTACTCATATTAATAAACAATAATCAAACATTTCTAACTGCCAGAGTGCCAAGTAGTCTTTCAAGACAGGGAGAGATCTGATTAACTTTATGAAGTTTATTTACTTTGAATTTCAGGAGCACAATATGAGACAGAAGTTTCGGGCTGCCCTCATGAAAGAGTTCCCTGATGCGGGTTTAGTGTTTGCAATTGGTGGCCAGATCAGTATTGATGTCTACCCTGAAGGATGGGACAAAACTTTCTGCCTTCAATTCATAGAGGAGGGAAATTATCAGACGATACATTTCTTTGGAGACAAAACAGACCCAGTAAGTAGCATGTCTCAAAATTAATGTAAAATGAAATTAATTAGAAAAATTAAATGGGAATGAATCTTAACGGAAGCACCAAGGACATCCATTAAAATTCATGGAAAAGTGGCGAGTGGTGCAATATTTCTAGGGTAAGATTAGGCATAGATATAATAATTCAGCTTTTATGGGAAAATTGGGATATTAATTTGTCAATCTGTTCATAACTGAAATTCAATCACTGCCTTAAAAATTGTCTGATTTCTACCAAATTTGATATGTACATGGCAAGGCTTCAGCTAAGTTTGATCGCTGATGTGATATGTGAGTGTTTACATGTAGCGCAACTGGACTGGGTCTATTGCCGGCAATCATGTAACTCAATTGATCAATTGTCCATCAGGGGACTGTTTTTTATACAGAACAACAGGTTTGTCTGTTTTAACTTTTTTCGGGTATAATCCCTTGCAGACCTAAAATTGCTAGGTTTAACCATTTGAATCGCAATAAACGAAAGCTGCCCTTGAGATTGGAGGATCCCGGGTTCAAACCCCATCTGGTCTTACATTTCTCTTTCCTCTCCTGTTACATACCTATAAATAATGAGGCTGCTTGGTTTTAATTAGTCAATTGATATCTGCTCAGTAGCAGTGCTAAAACTGGTTTGATGCCACCAAACTTAGTATGCAGATTCATATTCTAATATATGTACCACAAACTGGCATGTACTACAAATCAATGGATCACAGTTACATTGTCTTTAAAGCAGGGGATATAAATTCTAAAAAAAATCTGGATGATTATATAGTTGGTGGTTAACAAATTAACATTAGTTGAAACATATATCAGTAACAAAACTCTTGTTACCTAATGGAATGATTATACAAGGTCAACCATTTGCCTGATAAGTGTGATAAGTTTGTATCAGTCATTTAAATTAATCAATTGAAATGATATGGTTGTGTTAATATTTCATTTATACTAACAAAAAAGTCTCTCTTGTATCCCAGTATTTTAATGTAAATTTTTATTTCAATCCTTTCATTTGATTAATTGTATTATATTCATTGTAAATCAGTCCTAACCTTAGGCTTACAAAATTTATAAATATCATCAAATGAATCCTATGATTAATTACAATGTTATTTCCAGGGCGGCAATGACCACGAGATTTTCAGTGATTCACGGACAATTGGACACAAAGTGACCAGTCCAGAAGACACTATGAAACAGGTCAAAGAACTATTCTTCAAAGACTGATGTGTCCAGTACCATTATAATTACATAATCACACACACCTTCGACACTTCGTCAGCGAAACAGGTCTCACCAGCAGGGAAAATATAGCTTCATGTAGTAGATTTGGGGAAATAATGTAGGGTTCTAAATAAATAATGTAGTTCTTGTTTTCTTGGCATGTGATTTCAAAATGTAATGCATGTTGCATTTTCTGTGGTTTTTATTTATTTCAAAAATATTTATTTTTTAAGCTAATTTGAAATGCATAATATGCAGATCTTAGTGTATGTGTTAATATCAAAGAAATTATGGCATTACGTCCATAAATATTCTTTTTTCAGAAGAGTTGGCATTTATATAAAACATTGTATCATGTTTTCATGATGAAATATAGGAAAGGACCAAAACTGCCCAGAGAGTGCATCGGGTAATAATAACATATTTACAGAGATTATGTCATTACAACTACATATTGTAATGTTGTGCATGTGTACAAGAGTGTTGTGTTCAGATACAACTGCTGAATTTCTGTATGTACAAAAGTTGTGTTTGTACTGGAGTGTTAGCTACAACTGGTTAATTTCTGTATGTACAAGAGTGTTGTGTTAGCTACAACTGGTTAATTTCTGTATGTACAAGAGTGTGGTTTACAACAGTGTTGTGTTAGCTACAACTGGTTAATTTCTGTATGTACAAGAGTTGTGTTTATGTACAACTGGTCAATTTCTTTATGTACATGAGTGTTGTGTTTGGTGCAACTGGTCAATTTCTGTATGTACAAGAGTGTTGTGTTTGCACACGAGTGGTGTACATGAAATGTATTTTGGTACATGTACAACCGGTCAAGATGTTCTACAAATCTTGATTACCATCTAAGCTTATACTCTTCAGATTTTTACTGATTCACATAAGAAACTATCAGTGTTAAAAAACCTTTTTCAGAGTAACCTCAGTGAAATGAAGTTACAACTCATTGATTTGGTTTTTGTCACAGACTCTACAATTTAACATTTAATATATTAAACATGTATTTAGTATTTTATTGTGTATCCTTGTCAGTCCCCACTCCAATATTCTGTAACAGGTACCAAAACAGTCCTATACTACGGTAACTATCAGGAAATGTTAGGTTCCAGAATTTTTCTTGTCATGCGAATTATGAAGATTATGATGATGTTGATATTACCTGCTATATGTATATTTATTTATCTCATTCCTGAGTATGGAATATTTGTTTATCACATACTGCATTTGTATTTACAACACAATCAAGGTTAATGTACTTTTTCACACACAGTGAAAGATAATGGTAAATTTAGAATTTTTAAAGTAATGTGATATTTAGGTTTTATGTGATGAAGATGTAATTGTTATTTTTACATTAAATAGGTTAAGAATGCATTATTTTCCATCCTAACAAAAGAAAGAGCATCCTTAAGGGATACTAAAGGATCTTTAGAACTAAAAATATTTAAAAACCTTAAATACCAGTACAGTATTGTAACGATTTTGCTCTACTCTTGGTGGTAAATATCTCACATTTCTTGAATTTTCTTGAATCTCAAAAAACACTGCTGTAGTTTGATGTACATGCATATCAAAACAGAGTGAGTTAATGAAAAACAAAACAAAACAAGAAAAAGTCTAAATTATCAAAATTATATTAACTGTGCATGCAGAAAAGTATTGTTCATAAAGAAAAGATTTGAGGAACAGTAGATAAGTATACCCTTGTTAACATATAGAACACATTGTTCATTTGAGATATGTTTGGTGTAATAGGCCTCGGACTAATGTTGCCACTCCTTAAATTAAAGTGGCAATATTTTACACCACACTGTGGTAAAAGTGATGGTAATTAATTAAATTGTGTAAACTATAGAATCATATCTTCTTAACAAAACAATGAAAATAGCACAACATTTTAAAAGAAATAATAACAGATTGAGATTGAAATAGTTATACATGTGCATTGTCAATGATAAAAAACATTAATTTTATGGAAATTAGAAAAGTATTGCTTTTAAAACGTGTTTACTATGGTCTTTGAGTTGTTGAAGGTTCTTTTGCCATGTTTACTGATGATGTCAAGGTTTCACCACATCTCAGAATCGCTTTGTAGTTAGTGGTGCAAGGGAGGTAATTGTTGTAATGGAGGCAGTGTTGCCTCAGCCTTGTTTGGGGAAGTATGTAAAATGTGGGATTAAAAATCAGTTTGCAATCAATTATTAATATGCATTTTGTTTTGGAAGATTTATTTTTATAATACTTTATCTGTTAAATCTTAATTAAAACAGAGTGACTTTATTTAATGTGTTAGTCTCAATTATACGGATAAAAATGTTGACCCTGTGTTTAATAGTATAATAGACCAGGGCCATTTTCGTTGATCCAATTCCAAACAGTTGGACAAGAGGATTTTGTTTATGAATAGGGACAGTCCAAACTTAATGGTTGGATAGTTTCGAGGCCTGCATTAACGTTTTTGGTCTTTTCGAAGAACCGTATCCTTGGTCATGTTTTGAGTTACCTGATTTCGCAGTAACATAAAACTATACTTCGCATGTTGAGGCACAATATTTGCAATTTTTTATATATAAATAAAGACTCAGAAATGCAAACTTTGTCTGCTTAACACTTTAATAATGAACAACAGTTTTTAATTGCTACACACAACCCCATCTGGTACACAGAAGATGTTAGGGTAGGTAAATACACAACACATTGATCAACACAAACAGTAGCACAGGCCGCAGGATGAAGGCTATTGTACTAACAGTTATAGAAAACATGGTAATAAAGAACTCTAACAAAAGTACCTAGTAACAGTTTCTGCTGTTGTCCAGCATGATATATCTCTACACAGGTTTAACAACGGTCATCATGATTATAGTTAGTTACAGATAGTACAAAAGCATTACTCCATAACAGTATCCTACAAGCATACTTTATTTATTTCTGATTTAAATAGCGTAAACTACCTCAATATGAACATGCAAACTTTTATCATAACCCTATAACTGTATCATATGTAACAGTGATTTGCACTTTAAAATAATTGATTTGATGTGAGATGTTAACAAAGAAAGGACGCTTTGATAATGTATGACAATTATAAATATTAAAATAAAAGCTGTTTTAAAACCAATCAGGTGAGAAACTTCCTACCAATCACAGGAGTATGTAAAGTAGTGTATACCTGTAAATAAATACAAACATAATAGAAAGTAGTCTTTTTCCTCAATTTAAATGTTTAAATATTGAAATTGAGGAAATATTGACAGGCGACTGATTTAGTCTGAAAGCTTACAACCATTCAGAATTTAGAAGTCACTTTTCTGGACAAGATTTCAACTCGTCAAACACAGTAATACGAATGACATTTATAGCTGTAATTGGTTTTCTGAAGAAATGATAAATTCACACCATATATAAAAATAAGTCTTAATAATATGTCTGACTTGTGATATCTGTCTCTAATTTAATTTTTCGCCTTCATCACCCTCCCTAATAAAGCTGATTTATTATTACAGCAAACAAGTAAATAGACAAACTAATTACATGTGATTGGCGAAACTAAAACCGGGCAAATACAGATTTCACCCGCAAAAGGCAAAAATTTCCCGGTAAACATTATATATATAGAAAAGGTTTACATAGCCATTATTATAAGCTACCATTGCCAGTCTATGGTTAGCTATATTGTACAGAGAAAGCATTGCCAGTCTATTGTTAGATATATTGTACAGAGAACGCATTGCCAGTCTATTGTTAGATATATTGTACAGAGAACGCATTGCCAGTCTATGGATAGCTATATTGCACAGAAAAACTATCGCCAGTCTATGTTTAGCTATATTGTACAGAAAAACCATTGCCAGTCTATGGATAGCTATATTGCACAGAGAAACTATTGCCAGTCTATGGTTAGCTATATTGCACAGAAAAACTATCGCCAGTCTATGTTTAGCTATATTGCACAGAGAAACCATTGCCAGTCTATGGTTAGCTATATTGTACAGAGAAAGCATTGCCAGTCTATGGTTAGCTATATTGTACAGAGAAACCATTGCCAGTCTATGGTTAGCTATATTGTACAGAGAAAGCATTGCCAGTCTATGGTTAGCTATATTGTACAGAGAAACCATTGCCAGTCTATGGTTAGCTATATTGTACAGAGAAAGCATTGCCAGTCTATGGTTAGCTATATTGTACAGAGAAACCATTGCCAGTCTATGGTTAGCTATATTGTACAGAGAAAGCATTGCCAGTCTATGGTTAGCTATATTGTACAGAGAAAGCATTGCCAGTCTATGGTTAGCTATATTGTACAGAGAAACCATTGCCAGTCTATGGTTAGCTATATTGCACAGAAAAACTATTGCTAGTCTATGGTTAGCTATATTGTACAGAGAAAGCATTGCCAGTCTATGGTTAGCTATATTGTACAGAGAAAGCATTGCCAGTATATGGTTAGCTATATTGTACAGAGAAACCATTGCCAGTCTATGGTTAGCTATATTGCACAGAGAAACCATTGCCAGTCTAAGATGAGCTATATTGCACAGAGAAACCATTGCCAGTCTATGGTAAGCTATATTGCACAGAGAAACCATTGCCAGTCTATGGTTAGCTATATTGTCCAAGGAAAGTGTTTCCATTCTAACGTTACAGCTATAGAATCCCAGAGAAGCCAATTGCCAGTCTATGGCTAACTATATACAGTCCATGGGAATCTCATTTCCAGCTACAGTCTATAGTCATATTTATTTATTTTTTGTTTTATTGACATATGTCATCATTAATGTTGGCTTACACAACCTTATATACCACGCATGTACATGGCTTAAACAGCAGTGCAACTTAACTATCAGCGTACTCAAACAGCAATGTTCTGAGACTATCCTATAATGACATTGATGACAGCATACTCAAACAGCAATGTTTTGTATCCAAATCACAATGGACAATTTAAAAAGAATTGAGTGACCTTTGATTTTTGGCACCATTTCATGATATTGTGATTCTCAAATAAGATTCTCATATAATGAGTGTTGAGGGGAGTGATTTGTTAAAAGGTATTCATATTTATAAGAAACATTGTCATTAAATTATTTCATCGCTACAACAGTAAATTAAACCAATTATAAGACGCTTTCTCTTGCTGGTTTAGACTTTTTAAAATTATCACTTCATCTGTATCAACCTACCAATGATAATCTGACTGAACTTTATACCCAGCATAGTGTTACTTGTCCGGATTTTACTGAACTTTATACCCAGCATAGTGTCCGGATTTTACTGAATTTCAGAGCCTCGACATTATCAGTATATAAACTCACTGCTAACAGTTAGTAAGCATTTACATATATACATTAATGGTATATGTGTACAGTACTTATGGATTATATATCAACAGGAATGAGTAAATGAAGTTGGAACATATCTACAATTAACTGACTGATCAATATACATATATCTCTACATGCAGCTTTCAAATGCAGCAATGATTCATGAATTAGTTTCACTCCGACGTGTCAGTAGCATGAGCAGTTAGTTCACCCTATATTTCACCACAACCAATATATATACTTTCTATTTACATGATGTGTACAAATGAAACAGGACTGGACACTTGATCAGTCAATCACAAAGGGTCACAAGCCATATTCTTATACCTAATCTATATAACAGCATGTCTCATTGGATTAGGATGATCACATGACATGGAAATAAACATTGTGTTTCCCTCGTGAAATATGATACATCTCAATAAATCTCAAGGGAAACACAGAATCATGATTCCCTACAACAAGGGCAATTAATAAATGGGTAGTAATAATCTATTATTAAACTTGGGGGGGGGGGTCCACAGTACCATTTTTTGAGGAAGGATGTGCAAATATTATCTTGGGCGTTAATATAAGGGCACGATCCTCATTATTTTTTTTTGAATTGCTGAAAGTTTTTAAGTAAATTACGACTAAGGTGCAGTTTGGTATACACCAAATATCTATAGTTGAATGGTGCACTGTATCTCATCAAGGTCAGCAAACAGCCTAACCTTTGGACTAGGTCAATAACATTGGGTATACACTGTGTCTCAGCGGCACACAAGGTCAGCGAAACACTAACCTTTGGGCAAGTTCAATAATAGTTTGTTCATTGATATGTGTAACTTCTTCCACCCCCCAAAATAATGTTGTTAAAATTTGATGTGAGGTTATATGATGCCTAGGCTTTACAACACTAAGATATTTCCTAGGTAACTTTTTTTTCCCAAAAAATATTTGGTATACAGCTCTTCCACCATTTATTATATACAGTTTATATATGTACAGAAATCGTTAACATACACACATTGAACTTTCTAAAGCTTCATCGATTTATTGGTGAACTAGAATTCTTCTACATCACATGTATCTAACACACACATTTATTGCATTCCCTTTCATATCACAAACCCTTTAATGAACAGGTTAACTACAGTCAAGTATGTTCAATTAGTAGAGATGTTTACCTAGTCAGTCAGCTGTGAAATTGGAAAGAGCAGCTTATTTGCATTCAACTTTATCACATTCTAAAAATTCTGAAGTTAGTTGTATATATATTTGTACAACATACCTGTTGTCAAGGTTATAATTCAGTAGTCAAGGAAACTACACTAGTACTGTGTCAGTCAGCTTTAAAATCAGTAATGTTACATGTGGAATATATATTGGTGAGTGATGGAATTAAGGATATATGCTACTTTGTGATACTGTGTTAGGAGTAATTTCCCTTGAAATGTTTTCATGAGCATCATTAAACCTAATAGAACAGAAGTACACTAGTATTATCTATGCACTCATAAATTTTCAGATCAATGTCATAAATTGAAAAACCAATTTAAAATCAACATTTTTGAAAATATTTACAAATTTCAGTTGGCGTAGAACTTTGTTGTAAAGGAAATATTATATATCTGATAGTAAGATAGCATTAAGGTGTTTTGTAATATATAGCCGTGTCTAGTGAAAACCAGTTCTGCAGTGTATTCTTAGTAAATGACACATCCTTTTATTTCAGTGTATTCTAAGTAAATGACATCCTTTTATTTCAGTGTATTCTTAACTAAGTAGATGACACATCCTTTTATTTCATGATTATCTGGTATTAGACCCACAGTATGACAGGGTGTCTACTACATGATTACCTGGTATTAGACCCACAGTATGACAGGGTATCTACTACATGATTATCTGGTATTAGACCCACAGTATGACAGGATGTCTACTACATGATTCTCTGGTATTAGACCCACAGTATGACAGGGTGTCTACTACATGCTTATCTGGTATTAGACCCACAGTATGACAGGATGTCTACTACATGATTCTCTGGTATTAGACCCACAGTATGACAGGGCATCTACTACATGATTATCTGGTATTAGACCCACAGCATGACAGGGTGTCTACTACATGATTATCTGGCATAAGACCCAAAGTATGACAGGGTGTCTACTACATGATTACCTGGTATTAGACCCACAGTATGACAGGGTGTCTATTACGTGATTATCTGGTATAAGACCCACAGTATGACAGGGTGTCTACTACATGATTATCTGGTGTACATGTTAGACCCACAGTATGACAGGGTAATAATAGTAAAAACCTATACCTGATAGGCAATAATGTTCAACTCTAAAACAAACTTAAAATTAAAAAAATGTGTGAAATAAAAACAGATGACAATGTAAATGTATACATAAAGTTGTAAAAATTTCAATGTAGTTTTAAAGTACGAAAATCATAAAAAAACTTCAATGGAATTTTAATGTAGATATATGGAATGTTGTTTTCATTTAGTTATACCAACCACAGTAGTTAATTAACTTGCAACATTCAAGTTCTTATATTTGCTTTAAAGTCAGAATATGTTAAAACTTTAATAGTTTCACAAAAATGTCTGCTCTTCATCACTTGACATGATGATAAAAATCAAACTCAAAAGTACCCTACGTACAATACCGTATACCAGGACATTTGTCACTGCAGTTTAACATACACTTTTGCCGTCTGTTACGAGGCCGACTTGATCACTACAGCGGACATTAGTAAAAACATAATAATTGAATTTAAATATAGTATAAGATTAAGTTTTAAAGTATACAGTACATGTTGATGTTTAGCAGAAAAAAAAATTGAAAAGCAATTCTATTTAAAACCCGATATCTTAATTATCACAGAGACTGGAGGTACAGTTCATGGTATCTGGATTTTTATCAGATGGGTAAAAAGATTTCAAAGAAATTACATCACATAGTTCAACCTAAAGAAAGTCTTTGCTTTAGTTGGTGATCTTAATCGTTCAGAAACAAGGTTAAATTTCAGTGATAGTCTTGTCATCCAGATATATATATTTTTTTAAATCCAAATTTCCACAGCCTGATGAACATTGATTATTTGTCTAATCAATATAACAAATCTTGATCAACTGTCCTTCAAGTCTATATGTGAACATACACCAGGTCAACTCACAACGACATATAACCAAACACACTTCCAGTATTGACAACAATCATACTTCTGTATACTTTTTTTCACCAAAAAAATGGATTATGATCTACATAGTTAATGGTACTTTCTTGTAATAGTATATATATATATATATAAGTTATAGGTCATTTAAGTCATATGTCTTGTATTATGTTAAGTAACTCTTTTATCTAAAATATCAGAGGTAAAAATAATGAATATAACACATGTATATATATTTCATATTAAAGTTTGTATTAGAATTACAATAAAAAAAAATCAAACTTAAATAAAATATCAAGCAATACGCTTATACTGTTACCTGTCGTGTGAATATCGTTATTGGTGGGTTTTTTTTCCAGACATACAAAATAAACCTTGAAAAAGGAAATTAAAAAAAATATCTAAAAAGATTTATAATTAAAAACAATATTTATTAACCAGTATCCTTTAGAATCATACCAACAGCCGCACTGTTTACACGTGCCTCGGGTATGATGGAGGTGATTGCTGTTGGCGATTATGAATTTAAAATGACCAAAGCGTCTCACAGATTCTTCGTCAATATACACTTCACCTGACCAGCTCCTTTTAAAATACCTCTTTAGAGATCAGGTTTTTATTCCTTCTACATTTAAAACAGGGCAGACAAACATGATAACATTAGACAGTGTTGGGGATGACATTTGAAGGTTACGCTTCCTGACCTAATACAATAACAGCATTACTTCCATTGAGGAGCCAGTAAGTTGGTCGAGTGATCTGGGGAACTGGGCGATTTTCGCTCCCTGAGGTATGCTGTTTCCGCTCCAATTAAATCCTCTTGGGATATTTTCAGTGCAGGGTTGATCTTGCCATTGGGCTCCTTGGTTGGGGTGATGGCGGTTAATTCACAGGGCCCTTGGTCCTTCAATGCTATTGTCTCTTCTGGTGTGTTTACCACACACATAAATACGTCATACTTCCTATGTAGTATCCCTGCCTCGAACAGGTACTTAAGGGAGTATGATACAGACACCAATACAAAAAATGACAGAAGCATACTCAAGGTTTTAAAGGGAAATAACTGTATTTCATCAACTTCATCATAAAATGGAAACTTTATCAAGGTAGGTACATGCATGGACTTCTCCCCACCTGACAGCCTGAAGAAGAATGCAGTGATGAAGCCGGCCAGGGAGCCGTAGGTGTTTGTTCCCTGTAGATAGATAACACTACAGAGCTGAGGAAAGAGCACCACATATACAAGGTCTGAACACAGGTACCAGAGATCATAAATTGATTCCACAGTTATCGCCATAGCAGTGGCGAGACCACCCACTCCAAATATGGCAATCCGCATCACCCACAGAATCTCGGCCTCTGATGCCTGAAAAGGTCAAAGTTTAACTCATTGACTGCAGGTACAATGCACATTGTCAGAACATAGATTACTAGAAATTGATTTTAATGGTTGACAGCTAGATTATAAGATTACTAAAATTTGATCTTATTAAATATATAATTGACAGATTTTAAAATAACCTATCAGATGAAAAGAAAAATCACATTTAATAGGTGCTTATCGTTTATAAAACAAAATCAAATCAAAGTTAAACAATTTGTAAGTCATGAGAATTGTGTACAATTCATGCACATTCAAATATATACCGAAAATAATACAACAACTGAATAAACATACAGAAGCTGTTGGACAACAGCACAGCTCAGTTTGTTGAAGAATTAAAACAAAATAGTCAAGTTCAAAACAGGTGAAAAATTAAAAAAGCAAATAAATAAATCACCCCTATAAGGAACCTCCATGACAAGTATCCCCATTCTGGTAGGTTATACTGATGCTTGTGTTGATCATACACTTTGTTTTTATTATGTTTCACCAGTATGGAGCTCTAGAGTGAATTCACTCATGGGTATGCCCAAGATCACTACCACATCATATTCAATTAGAAAGGCTGGATTGCCCTCATATTTAAATTGTATGATTTTACAAATCTCACCTTCTGTCTAAATATCAGCTTGTATATATTCCTAGCAAACATGGCACTAGCAGATAAGATAGAGGAGTCCGCAGAGGACATGACAGCTGCTGACACTGCTCCGAGGCCAAAGAATGACACCCAGGTGGGGCTGAGGTACTGAAGGACCATCGGAAGGATCAATTTGATATCCTCCTTAGGGATGGGCACAGTGCGATGATCTACGATGGCATAGTCAGTGGCATTCCAATCTGATGCAAAGTGATGCAATGATAAATATATATCTTTTACATATACATTTGTATCTATAATAAAAATTTGTTGGAAATAAATAATTAAAATTGATGGATTGCATAACTGGTCGGCAAATTAGACAGCCTCCATTTTACGACCTTGTTTCTAAAGAAATATGTACACAGATGTTCTTACCTGTAGTTATAGAATACTTATACTACAAACACTTTTCCTGCCTACACAAATACTTGGTAACAGCTATGAACCTAATCTACATATGAAGGACTCCTTAATGGAAGATCTGGCAAATTTTACATCATCATCATTGTTATGCGGTTTTGACAAGACGGCAGAAATAGCCAATTTATTTTTATTTTTATTTTTTAAAATGACACATGTACAGGGAATTTGATGAATATTTGTCAAGTTTTCAACTGTAATTTAGAAAATATACTATACTTATTGTACATTTATACAGTGTGGGGAAATTTAAGTATCAATATAGATATTGATCATGTTAACCTGTATATACACTGGACATAATGAGATTCTGTTTAGAGGTCTGACGCACCTTGCCCCAACGTTAGTTGTGGGTGGTGTGCTTAGTTTGGTGATACAAAATTTCTTCAGGTTTTAACAGTCATGGCTCCATCTAACAATGCAGAACAAGGAAATGATAACTAAGAGCACTTGATATCCTATTTTTAGATTCAATCGTAAAGTGCGTACCTGTGACAGTTGCTACAGCACCAATGAGGACCGACGGGATAGACATGACAATACACCCCCCAGCTGCAATATACGATAATAGCTTGGCATTTGATGCAGTTTTTGCTGACAACACTCGCTGAAAATAAACCTGCAAACAAATCATGGTATGAATTAAATACAGATTATAATATGAAGTGTAGAAAGATATGGTAGATTTTCCTCCATTCCATTCAAAACTGGCATTTATAAGTGTATCTAAGAAACCAGATAATCTGCAGCTGAAAACTGGATAGGGATATCTTATATCTAATGATCAGAAGATTTGTAGGTGAGAACTGGAACTATACTGTATATAGCGATAATGGAGTTGTAAGTAAGAACTGGAGCTATACTATATATATATCAATCAGTAAAGTTTTAGATGAGAACTGACTGTATCTAGTGGTCAGTGGAGTTGTAGGTGAAAACTGGAGTTATACTGTATCTAGTGACCAGTTGTCTAACTACATCATGTGACCTACCTGCCAAGGTATTCCTCCAAAGATAAGGAGGAGAAAGCTGTCAATGTAGTAGCCAGAATACTTTGGGTCAAGCTCTTGAACCCAGTAGGTGGTAGAATTGAAAGTGATGTCCCCCACTGCCTCATGGGTCATAGCAAATGGTATGCTCAGCCACTGCAACGGGTAAACAATAATTCACATACAGCAAATCCAATGCACCACATTTACATTTCCTACCTCACATACAAATGGAGTAAATAATTTTTATGTTGGGGAAGATTTCATCGGACAACATGGAAAATTAATTTCCACTGGCAAGTAGTGTACTTCATGGCATATACCAGGTAAGTGTTGTACAATTGTACAGGGTATCACGAGGAGTAAGTAACCTTAATCAGTATTGTAATACTGTACATGGTCGCCCATTAAGTACTGTACTGTATAAAGAATCCCCTAAGTATGTAAATCCACCAAGTATTGTCTTCTGTACCTAAAATCCCCACAGTAACGTTATCTCAATAACAAATAGTAGTAACTAATGTATGTACATGTAACCCCTGTAGACAAGACTTCATCACAATTTTAGATGAATCGTTACACATTTAAGAGGGATATTCAAGCACTGGAAAAGTACATCACAAAATAGCTTTGTTATTACTGTCTAAGCTGTGGCTAACCCAGACAATCAGTGGAAGTTATATAGCACGTTAGCCGAGGAATAAAGTGTTTTTATTAGGATTCTGGCGACATGTCTAATACTGCTAAGTTCTGTGTCAATCATCTGGGAACAATTTAACACCAATGTAAATAGGTCACATATATAAGTTGGTACCATGAACTCGAAAGATCAAGTCCACACATAAATGATGTAAAACAGTCCCCGTATTCTGTTTTGCACTAAATATTTGTGTAGGTGTTAAGAAATATTGTCAACTACAAATATGATCAGTTACAGTCGACTGCCATATACTCAACATTGACATTACACCATTAATGAAAAATCAACAAAAGCTAAAAATGTCCACATCCATACATTGAGCACTGCAGTCTGAGATCACTGTTACAGAATAGGTTTTAGTCAGGGCTGGTTATAGAGGTTGCCTCCCTTTGATTAGAAATCTGCTGTATATGGTAGCATCATTTTTTTCCCCCTTTGCTGAATTATTTCATTTCCCATAACGCTACCTTTAACTTCTTGATAATAGTTGCATGTTTTTTTTCTACAGTTCAAGAAGTATATCCTTAAAGAGTAAAGTGCAAAAATCAACAGGAATTTATAGTGCAGACTAATTATTTAGTCAATTATTAACAGAACAAATATCTGAATATTGATAAAATCTTCCACAATTTCCTGTCAATATCTTATGAAAGAGAAGGTAAACATGACAGAAGAAACAGTTATGTGTCCTGTAAATATTGGCAACAAGTGGTCAATAACAAATGCTATATATAGAGCCAATTAAGGCTGGATGATCTATAGAACATGGTTATTGATGACGGTTGTTATTTTTATCTAGATGTTAACACTATTAATCATTGCTGTGTTACTATAGCAGAATGTCTTGTACATCATTAAGTAATGTAAGAGATGTTTGTACAGTAAAATCAATTTTACTCTGAGAGACCGATACCCCTTTGATACTATTTAAGAGTTACCTTTATCTTAAGAAAAATGTGCAGGCTCCAGCTAAACTTATTTGTACTGTTAAATGTATTTTATAAAATGCCAAAGTACAGATATTTTTGTTTGACATTTAGATTGTGTTGTTTGACATTAAGGTGCTGCTTGACATTTATATGGTGTTGTTTGACATTTAGATTGTGTTGTTTGACATGTAGATGGTGTTGTTTGACATTGAATTGTTATTTAAAATTGTGACAATTAAATGCTGTTTTATGTACTTATGATTGTGTTGTTTGACATTTAGAAGGTGTTGTTTGACATGTAGATGGTGTTGTTTGACATTTATATGGTGATGTTTAACATTTAGATGTTGTTGTTTGACATTTAGATGTTGTTTGACATTGAGTTGTTATTTAAAATTGTGACAATTAAATGCTGTTTTATGAACTTATGATGGTGTTGTTTGACATTTAGATGGTGTTGTTTGATATTTAGATTATGTTACTTGTCATGAAGATGAATAATGTTGTGTATCAACACATAAAGTGTTATGTGACACATGAATGGTTGGATGTGTGTGACATATGTGAATCTGGACTATCATGCAATTAACCCTTGACATTTAACAATTTTAGAAGTTAATTAACATTTTCCCTTACATTGAAGGGCCTTAATCTTAAGTAGACATGTTCTTTCAAACCAAAAGTTAAAAGCTAATTGTTAGTTGTGGAGAGCAAAAAACTGAATTTCAAGGTCTTCTGAAAGCCTCTTGTTTTTTTTATCTTCAATGGTTTAATCTGACCTTCAAATGGTTTTATTTAACCTTCAAATGATGTCGCATAGGTTTTAAATGCTTACATTTGACCTTAAAAAGGTGATTTTGGCTAATTAAGTCCTGTTTGACCTTGGAATGATTTTGTATGAACTTTGAGTGGTGTTGTGTGATCTTTAAATGGTGTTGTTGTATGACCTTTGAATTGTTGTTGTGTGACCTTTGAATGGTTGTTGTGTGACCTTTGAATGGTTGTTGTGTGACCTTTGAATGGTTGTTGTGTGACCTTTGAATGGTGTTGTGTGAACTCACCAGACCAATAAAGATACAAAACAGCTGTACAACATCAGTGTAGGCCACCGAGTACAGGCCCCCAAATAAGGTGTAGAAAGTTGCTACACAGGCGGACACAATGATGGACGTCTTGATATCGAGGTCTATTATCACTGACAGAGTAGCACCTGTAACATCAATAGTAAATAAAGTAAATCAAAATAAGACACAAACTCAAAAGTAGACAAAAATCTATCATAATATTTCGTAATCACTATAGTATTTTGTAGTTTTTTAAACATTTCTTTGACATCACTAAATCTGTTGTATTTACATAATCTAGTCAATTATAAAACATAAACGCGACAAACAATTCCCGAGTGATACAGCAAATGATTATAGATGCACACCACGACATCTAAACTTTGGGGACAACATATCTAGGATATGTTCACCATAAAGTTCACCATGTAGTAGATTATATAAATGTGAAATGACCCCCATTCTCCTTCATATTGTCCCACATCAGAATGGTTACATACAGAAAATGTTTGTCTATATCTTAAATGATAGTGAAAGTCACCATGTAAAACACATTCTTCCCTGTTCTGGTTACCTAATAATCTGTGACTTTTCTACAAAATTTCCAATAAGAGCTACTTCAGGTGTATATATTACCACCAAAGTATTTTATTCAGGGGGTGTAAGAAAGGGCCACATAAGGACATATGTCTATTTGGGGGTATTCTATTATGAGGGTATAAGAAAGGGCCACATAAGGACATGCTTTGGGGTATTTTATTATGAGGATGTAAGAAAGGGCCACATAAGGACATATACCTAATTGGGGGTATTTTATTATGGGGGTGTAAGAAAGGGCCACATAAGGACATGCCTTAGAGTTATTTTATTATGAGGGTGTAAGAAAGGGCCACATAAGGACATATGCCTAATTGGGGGGATTTTATTATGGGGGTGTAAGAAAGGGCCACATAAGGACATGCCTTGGAGTATTTTATTATGAGGGTGTAAGAAAGGGCCACATAAGGACATGCCTTGGGGTATTTTATTATTGGGGTGACGTGTAATAAAGGATGGCTGTTACCTACCAAGAGCACCTAAGATTGCTGCTGACCAAAAGACTTCGCCCAGAAGAGCGGGGATGTACAGTAATCCTCCCATTCTCTCACCATACTTCTGTTGGAAAGGGTCCAGCATGGTCACATATCCCTGTGATCGCATTCTCTCCGCAAAGAAATACCCTCCTGAGAATGGAGACATGCAAGTATTAGTTGTTTTTTATTTGAAAATATGCTCGTAATAAAGATCAATAACTGACATCAAACTCAAAATGGAAATTTATAAGTTTGGCATTTGAAAGAAAAAAAATCATCTTGTTCTTTATTTGAGTCAGTACTACAAAAGTACCTGGGATATTGTCACATGAGAAAAGGTTTTATCCAATGATACCAATTTATTCTTATGATTTTAAGACAGTAAAAGTAGATTTTTCTTTAATAAGATTCATCAGTTTGGAAATATATAATAACGAGTCTTACTTTATACACAAACAATGTAGGTATAAAATGTTGTGTCGCAGCATTAATACAAGCAGTGTTTGTAAACCTTTTATATATAATACAGTAAACTAGTTGTATGATCTAACCAGGTACATCATAGCATTTTATGACTATCAATAACTGAAGTAGTTAGAAAGTTATACAATTGAACACATTCAAGATTTTCAGATACTTACCAAATACAAGACTTAATGCATAACCAAAGGGGGCTTGGCACCAGACAAATCCATCCGTATAGATTACCTCTGCTGTCCCGTTTATAAAACCACCTCCTACCCATGTTGCTGAAATAAACATAGCAAATAAAATGTAATTTAAGTTATATAAATATCTGTATATTGAGACTAAAAAAAGAAACTGCACCATGGTATAAATTTGATTTAGCCTCTCCTTAATTTTATCTTTTTTAATTTTGAACCTGTAAACAAAAAACCCATGTCCAACTGATTTTCACCATGCTTACTTCTGGTAAATTCATTTAATCTAATCACCATCCCTGAGAAATAAAACAAGAACTAGTAACAAGAAATAATTTGACTTCCTGAACAATGAAACAAAAAAAATGAACAAAAAATAGTCTGAACGTTATTTTACTCTAATCCCCAAGTCATCCCTGAAAAATAAAACAAGACACAATTAGCAAAATAAATTGTTCAATCATCGTTTTCCTTGCACTGCTTTATTGTTGGCATCAATCACTTCTTTTCACTGGTAATAGATGAGGACTAAGTTTATGTTAAGTTTGTCAGACTTATTGGTGTTATCCTTGATAACTGGGAGAGTAAAAGATGGTGTAAACTCCTCCTAGGGATTGTTGTACCTTCAGTGGATTGTTTCTCTCCAACCATCAAACAGATTTGTTTCTACCCTTTCACTATAAAATCAATTGATTTTATACCCTCCCCTCCCCAACCAAACTATCATCCCATGGATTATTTTGATCCTCCAAGCGTATCCTCCCTCAGTTTTTTCTATCCTAACTCACAATGAAACTGGTCTATAAATGAAATATTTATATAACTCTGCTTTACAAATGGATCTATATAAATCTGCTCTACGATCTTTTTAAATGGCCTTATACACAGAGCTATTTTACACTCTGTGTCATACATATATATCATGATGATAAGACTATTAAACAATCTTCTGGCTTATTAAATGAAATTGTTGACAATTATCCACCATCAATATGATGATAATGTATCTTAAAAATTCTTTATTCTTGGCCTGTGTTAACTGTAGGATAGCCAATGATACTGTAAATGGCTGGTCACAGGGTTGTGGCTAAGAATTGTCATATCGTTCCTGTTATTAGCCTTGTCTCCTCCCTAGTGCCCTGGTACCTCAACCCTGTCTTTTATTCCCTATTGATCAAGTCTGTAGCTTTGTTCTTTACTCTTGCCTCCTGGTTATTGCACAGATAAACAAGAATATCCAAACAGCCCCGACAGCTTATTACACTCAATAATTGGATTATGCCATTGTCCATTAGGAAAGATTCGGCAAACTAGAGTATTTACCAAGAAAACTCAATAATTTATCTCCTGCTACAGCCTACAAATGCAGTTAATGAGTGGGTGAGGGGGTTTTGGAAATCCAATGATGGTATTGGTTACAGCTAAACCCTGATGTGATGTGATATAGCTCGGTGTGTGCTCGTGCCGTCCTGACATCCTGCGCACAAACTACCACCATAAAATCAATACCTGCAATCCAAAATGAAAAATAGTCCTGCACTTGTGAGACAGTATTTCACAAAACTTCTCAAACATGCTGCATTTACAAAGGAATTACTTTGAAATAGAATTTTCACTCAAGCAATAATTTTTAAATTTTTAAACCATTCATTTTTCAATGTTCTTCAGATACTATCTTTCTCCTCAGTGATTACTGTACGTCTTAGTATTTATAAAACTTAGACAAAGCTGGAGAGCACACTTTATTTTTACGTTAATTTAGACAGGTGTGTTATGTATGAACAATATTTTTTAAGTTTTTGATTTATAGCTACCAGTAGAAAGAAAAAAGAAAAATCCAAGAAAATACTTTTGTCAGCCTCAAAATATATTAAATCATCAATACAAATTTGTATCAATGTTATTATCAAATCACAAACCAACAATTTAAGAATTAATTCAACAGAAAAATATATTGTAGCCTTATCAGCTGTTTCAAAATTTAACAAATTACGTCCGACCTTGGTGTTGAACAAAATGTAACTTAAAAAATAAAGGATTCACATCTAACTACAGTATACTGGGAAATTTTCGTCCAGTCATACTTTCGTCCTTCGCCCATGAAACCAATTTTCATCCAGTGTTAATTTCTCCCTTCACATTTAATTACTATGTATATTATGCTGTTAACTTATATTTGCTGTCATGATAAATTCTCCCTCATTAATGAGGGCTATAAAAACAAAAATTAAACTGCAGCAAAAATGTCCAGGTATGCAGAATTGAATTTAGTGTACAGTTGTTGGTGGTTTTTATAGTTTTTGTAAACATTTTTTTTTTTTTTTTAAAGCTGGCCATTCCTCCAAGTGAACCTCTCTATTCAAAAAGATGTTTACAAATGTTACAGGGCTTTTTTTTCTCTCTCCTTTTTGAAAAATTGAATAACTTTTATCAGTTAAACTTAAAAAAGAAATTAAATTCGTGTTTTTTCATTCATTTCCATTTTTGTGAATCACCAAAATAAAAAATAACAATATCCTGGCCTATATTAACTCTTAAGAAATGATTAACTTCTAGATTTGTTAAAGCATTAGTGAAAATCCTCAGGAATCTAATCTCTTAGCAATGGTTTTATAGCATTCCTACATTTCATATTTTTTGTTTTTATTTTATCTCATTTCACATTTTTTGTTTTTATTTTATCTCAACTAAATAAAAAAAAAAAGGAAAAATATGGACCTGTTTAACATTGGTCAGTTTGTCATCGCGTAAAAGAATGCCTGATACAGCATATTTCTGATTTAATTGGGGTTTTTCCTGTACAAATCATATCTTACTATAACATAGTCTATGAAGATAACACTGTTGAAAATTTTATTGCTCCCAAGATAATGGAAAAGTCAAAATTTGACCAAACTTAAAAGTATATTGATGTTCGTAAAATGTTTTTATTATTAGATTATTTTTGAAAGACAAACGAGGATTTGTTTTTCATTGGCATTTTTGTTTAAGCCCAAAGTATATATTTCCTGGTTAAAATGTTTAGAAGTCCATCTATATCTGTGTACTATATGGTATGGATGGCAATCAGTGCCCCAGACGGTCTGTTTCAGCAGTATGGAGGCCCAGGGGAACACTTACAATCCCATTACAGTCGTCACCCTATCAAAGCAAGGCTCTAACGCTATAAATTGACTGACACCTCAGTTCAAGTGAAAATATCCATAATCAAATTTGGAGCTAATGACTGAATCTTGACAATGCCTTGTTTTCCCAGATGAGGGTTTGGGCCTGAGGATCTCTGGGAGGTACCTAATATGTGATACACGTAACACGACACTGATGTGCCGTATCACACCATGATATTTCTTCAAACAGCTTGGCCCACGCTCATCCACTTTATAACAAGCTTGTAAAATTGTGTTACTCCCTAATGAATTCATGATGATGTTTTAACAAGAGAGGAAAATGAGCATGACTTGTCTATTTTTATCTAACATAGTTCCGTGTGGACTCTCAAATAGTTTTTATTGTAGCAACGCTCCATGTTTACCCCAATTTAAAAATTTAAAAGTTTGTTCCGACTCCCAGGCGGTTCCATTTTAACAATATTCAAATGGTCTTCATTCATCAAAAACACTATAAGTTCCATGATATATTGGATTCTATACCTAACTCAGAATCTCAAGGTTGTGTCTGTCACACTGAACCATCTACATGGTCTCGGCCATGACTGTATAATGGATTAACTATAGATAAAATACATGCCATTAGTAGTTATGAGAACAAATGATTACCGGTATCTTCAGCTTAACTTTGGTTTATGCCATGACTGTATATGTACATGGATTATCTTTACTCATTTACCTCAGAAGACACATTTTAACTCTTCCAATTCAAAGGTTGGAATAGTTCATTACAAGATTTCAGGCGTGAATGAGTTAAAGATAAAACACATACAATTAGTTGCTTTGAGAACAAATAATTATCATCAGGTTGGTCTAGGCTAATACTTTGAACATGGATTACCTAGACTTAAAGCACATACAGTCAGTTGTTTTAAGAACAAGAGACCCAGGGGCCTTAATAGCTCACCTGGTATTTTATTTTTCAATTTAAAACCTGCTGAGTACCATTCAGGTTTATCAAAGGAGTACAAGTAACAAAGTTGCATCTTCCATTTATAAATATTCAATTCCCTTTGCCCAAAGATTCTCTAAAACAAGTTTGGTTAGGTTAAAATCCCTTCAACGGTACAGAAGGAGAAGGATCTTTAATGTTTTCCTCTATTTCCCCTAATGGGCCCCACTAATCTGCCCCAAAGAAGGGGAATCCACACACCTCAGTTTAAACAAAATTGATTCTTTTCTCCCTAAGCATGCTTCAGACTGCATTTGGTTTAAATCCCTTCACTTGTATAGTAGGAGAAAAAAAATCCTCTATTTCCCCTATTGGGCCCCGCTCCTATGCCGCCAGAAGGCCCACACCCTCCGTTTATACAAACTTGAGTCTCCTTTGTCCAAAGATGCTCTAGGACAAATTTGGTCAAAATCCTTCAATTGGTTGAGGAGAAGATTTTTAAAGATTTACCTATTTTCCCCTATTTGGCCCCGTCCCTCTGCCCCCAGGGGGACCATACCCTCCGTTCATACAAAACTGAGAACCCTTTGGCCAATGATGCTCCAGACCAAATTTGGTCAAAATCCCTTCATCGGTACAAAAGGAGAAGGATATTTGATGTTTTCCTCTATTTCCCCTAATGGGCCCCACCCATCTGCCCTTAGAAGGAGGCCCACACACCTCAGTTTATACAAAATTGATTCTTTTGTCCCTAATCATGCTTCAGACTGCATTTGGTTAAAATCCCTTCACTTGTATAGCAGGAGAAAAAAAATCCTCTATTTCCCCTATTNTCCGTTTATACAAAACTGAGAACCCTTTGGCCAATGATGCTCCTGACCAAGCTTCAGACTGCATTTGGTTTAAATCCCTTCACTTGTATAGTAGGAGAGAAAAAATCCTCTACTTCCCCTATTTGGCCCCGCCCCTCTGCCCCCAAAGAGGCCACACCCTCCGTTTATACAAACTTGAGTCTCCTTTGTCCAAAGATGCTCTAGGACAAATTTGGTCAAAATCCTTCAATTGGTTGAGGAGAAGAAGATTTTTAAAGATTTACCTATTTTCCCCCTATTTGGCCCCGCCCCTCTGCCCCAAGGGGGGTTATACCCTCCGTTTATACAAAACTGAGAACCCTTTGGCCAATGATGTTCCTGACCAAATTTGGTCAAAATCCTCTGAGCCATTCAGGACAAGTAGCATTTTAAAGGAAAAAGTTGACGGACGACGGACGACGGATGCTGCACCATGGGATAAGCTCACATGGCCCTTCGGGCCAGGTGAGCTAATAAACTATTCCCTGTAACTTGATCTAAGCCAAGACTGTGTACATGGATTATCTGGTTAAATACATACAATTAAGACCTTTTGAAGACAAACAATTTTCTTCTAATTCATTAGCTTCACATGAAAAACTTGTTATACCATAAAAAACATTTTTGGGCGACACCAAATTTGAAAGATTAGGTTTGGTTTGGTTTGGTTTGTTGGTGCTTTACATCCTACTAACAGCTATGGTCATTTAAAGGATGACACCAGGTTTTGGTGGTGGAGGAGAACTGAAGTACCAGTGGCCCCATGTTCATGAATTAGAAGATCTTACCTGTCATAGTAAACACCCCGACCACCAGGCCAATGTTTCGTCCTGCCAGCATCACATTCTCACTGTCTGCATCCTGTCCGGTACTTTTTGACTTACGAGCTGCCCACAGACCAACCCCAAGAATGAGTAGGTAAAATAGGATGATGGACACCAAACCAGCCACATGTATAGCCATTTTGTCAAAACTGCTGCTCTGTTACTGCAAAATCCTACAACAGTCATTTAAATTGTTTTTTGATTTTCACCTCAAAAATCAACAATATTATACATGTGTTATGATAAAGGTCATAATTCAACCTCCCTTGCTGTCAAAGGTAAGAAGTGAAGGTCACAACTCAACCTCCCTTGCTGTCAAAGGTAAGAAGTGAAGGTCACAACACAACCTCCCTTGCTGTCAAAGGTAAGAAGTGAAGGTCACAACACAACCTCCCTTGCTGTCAAAGGTAAGAGGTAAAATTTACAACTCAACCTCACTTACTGTCAAAGGTAAAGAGTGAAGATCATGATTCAGCCTCCCTTGCTGTCATGGTAAAAGGTGAAGTTTACAATTCAACCTCCCATACTGTCAAAGGCACATAAGGGGTAAACATTCGCTTCAACCTCCCTTACTGTCAAAGGTGAAAGGTAAAGGTCAACAATCATTTTTTGTACATAATAAATGTTTTCATAAAAAAATACAGATAAGGTATGTTTTTTTGCATTATTCAGGAAACATACCAGACAAGAAATTGATCAGATTTGTATTGCATGACAATCTATCAAAGGCTGCATATTGATTTGATATGCATGAATTTTAAAAGAAGACTTAGAAGTCCAATGTGGACCACTATCATAACTAAATGTTTACCTCAGCTTGCTACAATACTTCTACAGAAGCCAAAGATGAATTTACAACATTTCAGGGATCATTTACATCTACAGCTTCATAAATATCCAATGTCAGTATCAAAGGAATATTTATAATGAGTTCAAAAATAAAGTAAAAAATGGAAATGAATGAAGTCTATTCTTATAGCATATTTTCATGACAAAAGATTAATAAACAGTTATAAAGGGAACACTTTCAGGAATTTAAATTTGTTAGAAAGATACTGCATTATACAGACAAATTTTCACCCAGTCAAATATACGGTCTTTGCCAATCAAACCCACGTTCGCCCAGTGTTTAAATAATTTTGCCCTTCATTTTTAATTTCTATATGTTGTATGTTGTGTACAAATATTGCCTGTCATGATAAATTCGTCCTCATTGGGAAGGAAAAAGTTAAAAGTAGTAACTTGGGGGGAAATATATGCTATTCCTTTCAGGGTAACAAATACAAAATTGCAATGGTTGCAATTTAGAATTAATCATTATATTTTAACAACCAATTCTTATTTATGCAAAATTGGACTTGTAAATAACCCACACTGTGTTTTTTGTATCATAGAAAGGGAGACAATTACCCACGTTTTATGGGAATGCAGGGAAGTACAAAAATTTCTGAGCAATTTTGAAAGTCTTTTAAGTGCTCTCACTATTCCTTTCTCACTAAATAAAGAATCAATGATCTTTGGTTTTATCAACCAAACTGGAATTTATACCAGAATTGATAATGAAATTACTCTGTTCATTAAACAATATATATACAAAACCAGATGTTTTCATAAGTCACTTAATGTGACGGCTTTAGTCAATTCGATTAAAGATTACTATAAGGTTCAGAAATATATTGCTCGTGGTAAAGGGGAACAAGGCCTTAGAAGATTTACTTCTGAATGGGAAAAATGGTTAAAATTAGTAGAGCTTGACCTCAACTAACCCTGAGTATTATGACTATTTATATTAAGTTATTAGTTGTTATTCTACTTAAAAAAA